CTACCTCAGCCCTGTATATTTGTGCATAACTGGTCTTTCCTGCCCCTTGCAGTCCTCAGGTTGGAGGACTCCCCCACCGCCATGCACACATATGCAAATCCTGCTGGGAATTATGGGTAGGCACTGAATGTTCCACACAGAGTGCTGCCATTGTATGTGGGTGCAGTGGGCAGCCTTTTTTTTTTCCTTTTACCTGTGTTGGACGTGCCATCTCTGACCCACAGTCCTGCCACTCGCCAGTGATAGAGTGCTACCATTTACCAGACATGGATGTATCCCACCCCTCGCAGGTGCTGGACCACTATGGGTTACCAGATGTGGATGTGTCCCACCGCTAGCAGGCCTTGGAGCTCAGTTGTTTACAAGACACAGGTGCTAGGTGCCGGACGGGTCATTCGGTCCTATTGTGTTTTTGGCTTCTCTGAATCCGTGTGTTAAATATGTATCACTCTGCTGCACCCAACTAGAAGGATACAGTGAATGTAAGTCTGTTCAGTCAGCCAGGCCATCGCTGAGTGGTTGGCTCCCTTCTGTCAGTTCATTCCTCTCCTAAGATGGTGTGTATGCCAGGTCTGGGGTGAAGGGTAGGGGGTGAGAGGACCGCTATCCAGGAATGGTCTGATTTCCCTTCATATACACTCTAAACACTGGATTTTAGTCCTGCTGGTTTTCTTTTCATTTGTCCTCCCATATCAGACTTGATCTTTTGCCCTCATCTCGAGGTACCTGCTCTTATCCAGTGCCAGTTCAGAGCTATTCACCCTTGCTGCCATCACCTTGGTGGCCGTCTTCTCTCCGTGTTTGCTGTTCTGATGGTAGAAGCTAATAGACCTGCCTATTGGGGAAAACTGCTTTCCTCTGTCCCCATCTAAATATGACTTCTGGCAATGGGAACAGCCTACCAATTTGCTCTCAGTTGTATGTTTATATGCATATGTATTCCCTACAGTTCCCCACCATAATTGGTAGTTATTGCTTGTGTTATGTTCTATAATTTGGCATAATTTTGTTTCATGTTTTACTTATTTTAGAGTTTTCTCTAGATTATCACATGTATGTTTGTGTCTTTTTTAAATTGCTGTAATGTTTTACCATAGGGATGGCCAAAGAACAGGGTCACACAGTCATTAGGTTGAATTTAGAATACTAATTTTCTTGTTCCCAGTTGGTGTTGTATTTTTTGGCTTTGTTTTGTTGTGTGTTTTTTTTCTTTCCTCTTCCCTTAATAGTTCTAGGCTTATATAGCCAAATGTTGTAGATTTAACACTTTGGTTCCTTTTTGCTCACCTAAATTTTCCACTTAGAAATTAAACTTTCTTCCTTCTGTAGTACAACAGTATTTTTTTTTCACGCTACTTATTTTGCAAAGAGGGTTCATTACATTCCTCCTCACAGTATGCCCTCCATGGGAAGAATTATATTCATTCTTGGATATACTTTATACAAAAGTAGATGCTAAATTAAAAAGTTTGTAATTTTCTCCTGCCAATCTGTCCCAGACGGCTATTTTGGGAACACCATGTACTCTGAGAAACCCATTCCAGGTTTGTCTCCAGAAGGCTGCTATTTGTTTGTGTATCTCCATGCTCCTGCTGAGCATCTCTTTTCCTTTCTGGCTTTGGCCTCCAATCTTCCCTATTTTTCTAGTCTCTGATTCCCTGCTCCTTTTATCCTATCCTGCTATCTCTACTGTGGCTTGGCCAAGCCGTGATACAGATAAACTCAGAAGTTGAAGGCATTTGGAATGTTATTCCCCCACAAGCATAATGGCACCCACTTTCACAGCCCCTGCGTAGACCTGGCTGTGGAATTCCGGCTGAACATTTGCTAATTCCTGTGCTCAGGAATGTGCATACATATCCTGTGGATGGATAATTGACTTTATGTGTGCTGAAACAGCAGCTTGGCCAAGGGCAGCTGAAGGAGAGGAACTTCTGAAAACAAGAACATTAGACAAAATTAATTTACATGGAAATTTGAAGGCTGAAAACCAACTGCTTTTTAAATGGATAATTTTAAAAATTAGACTCTAAGTACCAGAAAATATTTCTCAAGGCTGTTCAAGGATGGTTCAACCAACCATATCCTTACAGAAATGTGGTAATTCTAGTCTCCTTTTCCTTTCTCCAGCTAGGTTATTGGACTTTGAGTGCTCTGTTCTTTAAAAAGACTGGGATCTTCAGCTTTCAAATGGCTCTTTTCCAGAGAGGTGGCTTACACAACAGTCCTCAACACAGTATTACTGCAAACACTCAGAATTAGTCCAGAAGTGGAAAATGTGCTGGTGGGGTTTCCATTCAAATGAAGAATGAGTGTTCTTTGTAGAAAAGAGGCTTTGTGGCCAGCGTAAAGTAAAATACTTTCTTTTAGGTTATTTTCCTTAGTGTCTGTATCTGCCTGTTCAACATAAGACTTTTTCACATGCCCGCTATAGTTGTTTAGTTTTGGCTTGCACAGTAATCCCACAGCTAGCATTTATTGGCTGTGTGGTGGGCACTGTACTGAGGTCTTTCTACTTATTCCTCATAACAGTGCTGTGAGTAAGTGTAGTTGGCCCTCTGTCTGTGAGTTCTGCATTTATGGATTCGTCCAACTGTAGATTCCAAATAATCCCGTGTGTGTCGGGGGTGGGAGGATCATGTATTTACTAAATATGTACAACCTTTTCTCTTGTCATTCCCTAAGCAATACAATGTAACAACTATTACATTGTAGTAGATAATACAAGTAATCTGGGGGTGATTGCAGGTATACAGGGAAGATTGTAGATTATATGCAAATATTGTGCCATTTTACTTAAAAGGGTTAAGGATCTGTAGATTTTGGTATTAGCAGGGGCATCTTAAAACCCACACACCATGAATACTAAGGGCAACTGTACTATTTCTCTCCACATTTTATCCCAAACTTAACTTGCAGATAGCATTACTAACCCCATTTTTAGCTAAATAACCTGAGGCTTAAAATTGATAAGCAGTATCCTCACAATCACATAGCTAGTAAATAGTATAATCAGGATTTTTTAATTACATTATCCATTGTTCTGTGGTGGCTGTACGGGGGAAGTTGCCCAAGCTGTCCTGGAAGGCAGGATGCAGTGATGATGCAAAGTATAGTGAGCTAGAGTGTGAGTTCAAAGCTTGGCTCCACTGCTCCCTACTAGAGGGAACTTGGGCCAATTATTTCACCTTTCTGGGTGCCTTTGTGTGAAATATATATAATAAAAATATCTATTTCTCAGTTATGGACTTAATACATGGAAGTTCAGGTAGTATTTGACACATAGTAAATGCTCAATTAATGTAGCCCCTTGTTATTATCTTTATATGCCACTATAAAGAGCACATTTGCTTACTTCAGGATCAGAACATAGCTGTTAGCATTTTTATCATCTCATTTGTATTCAAAGCTGAAAGAGAAAGCTGAAAAGTCATTCCAGGCACTTTCCCCTCTTTTTTAGGAAAAGAAGCTATTTTCAAATGTTTGCCGACTTGTCATTCCTAGGTACAGTGGAGGTTAGAAAAAGGTATAGTCAGTGGTGCGTAGAGGCCACCTCTTGGGCCAACACATATATTCAGAGACTTTGCAGTCTAGTTGATATCACACCTAGGGTAGCTTGAAATCTGCCATGGTAGGAGAATTTATATCACAGAAACTAGGAAATGCTGCATATCAGATCCCCTTCTCCAAGAACTAATCATTAAATAAATTTACCTGCACACCATTGGATATATTTAACTCCATCTGCTGGTCTGAAAGGTGGCAGGGAGTAGAGGTGAGATGTAGAGATTGGAAATGGTCATTGGGTTAACTAACCAGCAGCATCTACCAAAGTTAGTAAACCCTTTAAGCTTCTTCTATTTTTTTTTTTTTTTTTTTTTTGACACAGGGTCTCACTATGTAGACTATGTAGTTGAGACTGACCTGTAGCTCACTATGTAGTCCAGGCTGGTCTCGAACTCATAGCGATCCTCCTGCCTCAGCCTCCCGAGTGCTGGGATTACAGGCATGAGCCACCTCGCCCGGCCCCCTTTAAGCTTTTCTAATACCAGTGTCGTTGGAGATCCAAGCTGAAAGGGGCCTCTCAAAGTCACCAAGGGCAAGGCCTTCTTTTCACTGACAGGAACCTGAGGCTCCCAAGTCAGTGTGCTTTACTTTACATTGGAAAACCAAATAGTGAAAATGGCCCTCCTAAAACCTAGATGTCCTAGAGAGTAGATTTGTTCTCTAGAACTGAGGATTTAAAACCCTGCTTTGTGCAAACTTAATCAGTAGTTATTATCTTAGTGTAGACTTAAGATTAGAAATTTCTGAACCTGCTGTGACTGTATGAAGAATTCCTTTAGCTGCCCTGATACGATCAGTGAAAGCAGGAGGTACATGGATAAAAGTATGGCTTCACTGGCATGAAGGAGAGAGATGAGGTGAGGGGGGGTTTAGGATTAAAACCCAGTGTCAGCAGAATGTACTTTTCCACAACAGTCATTGATAGGATTTATATAGCTTTCCATTGTGTGTGTGTGTGTGTGTGTGTGTGTGCGCGCGCGCGCGTGCGCGCACGTGTGTGCATGCAGGGATCAAACTTGGGACCTTGTGCTTGTGAAGCAGGCAGCAGAACCACTGAGCCAAATCCCTGGCCCCTTCATTGCTTTTTAATTCATCCAGGCCCATGCTTGATGTCCTGTTTATGGTTTAGGGTTTCATTTTATTGAAACCCTAAAATCATTTTAAGGAAGTTTTGGGAGGATTTTGCTTGTTTTTGGTTCTTTGAGACAGGGTCTCACTGTGCAATTCAGGCTGACCTTGAACTCAAGGTGATCCTTCTGCCTTAGCCTCCCAATTGCTGGGGTTACAGGCATATACCACTCCCACCATGCCTAGTTCAAGGAAGTTTTAAGTAGGAAATAGACTCCTCACAGCTCTGTTTCAGACAGGAATATGTTTGTGTGATTTTTATTTCTTTACATCTTAACCAATCCTGGGTCTGTCTTTATCTATAGCCAAGTTACATCACTGATGTGGGGCCCCCTGGTCGAAGCGCTATGGATGTTGTTGAGATGGCCTACGCCCAGCAGGTGAGTCTGCTCTCAAGGAAGAGTTAATCCAGGAAATTTCTTGCGAGCCTCAGAGAAGTCAAAAATGACTTCATGTGAAAGTCAAACCCTAAGGCAAGTTGGGTTTTTATTTAGAGAACTGGTTAATATTTTACTACACAGGCCACTGGAGAATTCTACCAAATAGGGTAATAGAATGACTCTGATTTAATGAGGAGAAATTGAAATCTGCCCTCTACTAATCAGGGCATCCTGTTTGCATTATTGGCAATTGCAGCATGTACAGTAAAGGGTTGAATAACTGCTCTGCATGGCATGTGGTTCTGTATTAACTGAGTAACCTGTGAGCTGGTGGTATGATCTTTCACCCCTTGTTGAGAGAAATTTCCTAAATGCTTTTCAGCTTAGTGAGCATACCATACTGAGTGTTACTTAATGTCATTGTTGTCTTGGTGAAGCTCCTGATATACTGGGGTCATTCTTCTGACTGTTGAACGTGACCATATAATAGCAAGGGAGTAAATTGGGGTTCTCTGTGGTAACCAAAGACTTGCTATTGGATTGTAACTGTCCTGAGGACAGGCCATACCTGGGGTTGACTTTTTGAATAAAATAGTACCAGATGATTGTGTTATATTATAATTTGCCATTTTCTTCCACAGAGTATCAAGATGGACAAACATTCCTGTTTCTTGAGCTGAAAGCTGTAGTATTCCTTCCTCTTTAAGATCGTCCTAGGGCCGGGGATTTAGCTCAGTGACTCGGTGGCCTGCCTTGCAAGCGCAAGGACCCGAGTTCAATCCCCAGTACCAAAAAAAAAAAAAAAAAAAAAAAAAGATCATCCTACATGACCAGTATCCAAGGAACATGTCCCAGCCATTACCAATTCCCACGACTTTATGGGGAATACACCAGTGCCACTTGTGGCTCTCAGCACTATTCACTTCTTTTTTCCCTTTAACTTGGAGTAGGGGTTGGAGGCAAAAACTGATGGCAGCTATAGAGGGGAGCAAAGGGCTGTGAGAAACTGTTCAACCTTCTGTGCCTTGATGGAGGTCTCTAACTTCAGTTGCCAGTTAATTAGGCACTGGAGTTTTTCATGAACTGAATACCTAGTAGGCTGATGGTATTACCAGAAATCCCTTTTCTACCCCTCATTGAAAGTCATATCATAAGTGTCTTTTAGAGTTTTTCTCCTTTACCATTGGCGATAGCTGCATGTACAGTACCATTGCTATTAAGAAGTCCAGGTTGCTGAAGCCAGCTTTGTCAGCTTCCCAAAGCGAGTTCCTCCTCCTTCCAACTCCTTGGTTTACCACTGACCTTCAGTTATTTCCATCAGCTCCAATTTTTAGATCTCTCTCTTCTTATTCTCCATGCACATTGACATACTTTAAATTTCACCTTCATTATATGGGGGTGACTCCCTCCATTGCCATGGCCACCAGCAGGAGTACAGGCCTAATGAAATTATAAGCTTCTGAGGAGATAAACTATGGTTTATATCTCCAAAAACTAGCACTTAGCACACAGTGATATCAAATATCTGTGTTACATGGCCATCCTCTCCAATGAAGAGTGACTCTTTATATCCCATATTGAAACACAGTACCTTGTCTACGGCCATACCACCCTGAATGAGCCCGATCTCGTCTGATCTTGGAGGCTAAGCAGGGAATGGAAGCTGGTGGAAGCTTCTGCTGACCATCTGCTGGCTTCAGAACCGCTTAGGAGGTCTTAAAAAGAAGTGAAAATAGAAATTGTGCCCTTTACTTTGCTTTCCATCATTTCAGATTTATATCTATAATGAGAAGATTGTCAGTGGGCAGTTACAGCCTAACCTCGTGGACCTCTGTGCTACAGTCCCCCGCCTGAATGATAAGGTATTGCCCATTGATAACCCAAGAAGAAAGGTGAGGTCTTGTGTGCAGATGGGATTAGCAGTTTGCTGACTTGGCTGAAGTGTGCTGAAGAGACTCTTCCATGGAATAAAATAACTGTTCTTCAGATTTATTTTACATAATTTTGTAGTTTGTTTTTTTTTTCCTGTTGACTTTTTAAATGCATCTTCAAAAGGCTCACCCAAGATCAATTAATAGTAATAAGTGTTTTTCTTGAGCTATCTTTGCTTTGAAATCCTGTCAGCCTGTCTCTCTGCTCACAGTTTTCTTCTCATACAAAGGGAACCCTTTAAGGAGAGTTGAATTGCAAAGGTGATTTTGTTTTCACACCTGCCAGCCCCTTGAACTTGACTCAGGTAGGGTCTTTTTTTTTTTTTTTTTTTTTTGGTGGGGATTGAACTCTGGACCTTATGCTTGTGAGGCAGGCACCATGTCACTGAGTTAAATCCCCAGCCCTCAGGTAGGATCTTTATGAGTATTTTTCACATGCCACTGATGCCATTCCTCTCTCACACCTCCTTCTTGCCAAGTTTTTATTTGTCCCCACACTTTATCCTTAGCCAGTTTTTTTTTTTTTTTTGGCGGGGGAGGGGAGCAATAAAACAAAGAGTGGATGAATGGGTGGTCGGGTTGATAGCCTTTCCTCCTTTTTTCCTTCTCCTAGCTGCCTATTACTATAGAAGCAAGAATCCACACACAGATTTTATGTTTTTTTTTTTTAAACTGCACGTAGTTTTATAAATAGCAAAATGTAAGGCCGTACAAAGAGATCTAGAGAAGAAAGTAAGAATTCACTAGTTGTACCCTCCCCCCAAAGTCACATTTAGCTAGGTGTTCTGTAGTTTAATTTTTGAGAGAAACCACAGGTTTTTTCTCTTTCACTTCAGAGAAAGTGTAAACTTGTGTTTCTCTACTTGGTGCTGTCCTCTTTAGAGTATTACCAAGGGTTCAGGGAAGACATTTTAAAGGAGAGATTTATGGCCAGGAGGACTCAAGAGGGAGGTCTGCTGTATGTTGGTAACACAAAGTAAAGAATGCTGCTCTTTCCTGGGAGCTGCTTTTGAAAGAAGTGAGTGGGAAGGAAAATGGAAGGCCTGAGCTTCCAAAACAGGGTGAGAACTGTGGTTCCTTGGAGAGTCTTTGGAAGGACAAAGCCTAGATTATTTAGGTTAAACTCTTATTTTAAGCCTTAAGAAATTCAAATAACCTTGTAAGGACTAATAATGTAGAACTTGAGTTTAAATTCCTAGAGCTCTGCACAATTATAAATGTATTCAGTCTCTCTTAAGGGATAACCCATTGAGATTCCGTGTTCTTGTACTTTTATGTGGCTTTAATTATGTAGGTGGTTATGTCAGGCCCAGAATGGTAATTGATCTGAAAACCAACGGGGTGGGAGTGGGGGGCTGCTGCTCATCAGTGGGTAAAATCCTGGTGGCTGTCAGGGCAGAGGCAAAGCTTTTGCACTGAGCTTGAGTCTGGGGCTCTCGGAAGACATTAGCCTCACCCCCATCCTCACCCTGCCATTCAAGTCAGAGTGCTCTAACAGCCAGATAAATTCTCTGGCCCTGCAGCCTTGTCATATATAGTCTCCATTTATACACAGAACATTTCTGACATGTGGACCATGGTAAAACAAATGACAGATGTGTTGTTGGTACCAGCCGGTGACACCCTGAAGAGCCGAAACAGCTTGGAAGTGCGCATGGACTTTGTCAGGCAGGCCTTGGGATACCTTGAGCAGAGGTAAGGCAGCAAAAGCACAGTGGGGCTGTTTTTCCCATCTCCCACCCCCACATCCTCCAACGGCAGCTCTTTCTCAGTCTTAAACAGCCCTCAAACTAATGCACTCTATGGCTGGTGTAGTTGAAACAGATTGAGTGAGGCTGAAAAGTAGTCTTGCTCTCAGAGACGCTTCTCGACTAGGGAGCACTGTTAGACTTCTGTTTCTTTTTCTGCTCTCTGTCCCCTTATTATGGAGACATCATAATTATTAGGCCCTAATGAAGGGGCAATAGTTAGGGCACAGCCACAAGCTGCACAGCAACCACCTCCAATTAGTGAGGAGGGGCCTTCGGTCATAATCCTGTTTCTTAATGTGGTTCAGCCATTACTCCTAGGCTCTTCTGTTTCCTCTCAGCATTGTAACGTTTACACCAAACAATATTACTGCCTTACTTTGGGAAGACCTCTTTAGCTTGACTTTCCTTCTGGCTCAATTTAGTTCATCACTGTGAGTCAGGGTCTTTCTCAGCTGCTAATGCCTGTGATTTGTGCCTGGGCCTCTTTGCCACCTCCTCACTAATTGGAGGTTGTTGCTGAGGAGCTTGTGGCTGTGCCCTAACTATTGTCTCCTTCATTAATAGGGCCTGTTCCATTCTTCCCTCCCTGTGGACACTCCTTCTAGCTCTGAATGGGCCAGCAGGGGTTGTCATGATTGTGCAACAGACTCTCTTTATTTCTGAAACAGGGTGCTAGGCCTCTCCCTGCTGGCTGGAGAAAAGAAAGCCCAGTTGAATGTACTTGCTAAATTGCAGCTCTTTGCCACTGGGCCTCTGCACCTGCCAGCAGCCTTGTTGTGTGGTTGCTCTTTGTCAACAAAATACCTCTTTAAGAACTTGTACAATTTCCTTGTGTGTAACTGAGGTAATTCAGAGAACAGGTTTTTATACCAAATACTGTATTAATTATACAATCACTACATGAAATGACACCATCAGACATACTTACTACCTTCCATTCCTTTGTTAGGAGAAATCTGAAACCCCAAATGGGTACCCCTCTAACCTGAGTATAAAGGGTTTATGAAATAATTAATTGGGATTTGGCTGAATTTGTGATGAAGTTTGGGGGATATGGACCTTCAGCCATGAAGTAGCTAATGTATGCAGTAGTATTTATTCATTACAAGTCAGCAAAATGTAAGCCACAATTTCTTACACAATATTAAAACCCGAAGGAATTTTTTTAAAATGCCTGTAAGTATATGATTGCTTTTTCCTGCATAGACCTAATCCTTAACATGGGTGCTCAACCTCACCAATAAGACCAGGCTGCATTCCTTTGTTTTAAATCTCTGTAAGCCATCCCATATTATTATTATTATTATT